TAATTTATTAGATCTAGTCCTAAGTGACTTACTTAAAAAATGCTTTCCCTAGCTCTCATACAGGCTATGACCATACAGAGGAATTTTAGCCTGATTTGATTGCTTTTCAAAAAGAAGCAGAAGGAAAGCAAAGGGTTTGTTAACAGACAGATATTCTGCATAGGAGTTTTACAAATCAGATTTGGAACCTTAACTGCAAATATAAACTATTATCTTCAAGGGAACAGGGAAGAAATGTCATTTTCTTACAGTTTTCTTTGTAATAGGAGAAGCTCTTCAATGATAAGTTTAACTGAAAATCAGGGTGTATATTTGAAAGGACAATAAAATGCAAAAAGATTATAATCTCCATACAATGAAATGTTATGCTTTATGGTTATTGTAATGCCTAGTGTGACCAAAGTTTTTCCAACAACGAATTCTACACTGAAGAGTGAAACAGGCCAGGGTTGCTCACTGGGCCTCTCCAAATACATTGCTGTTCAAGTACGCGAGCTGCTTCGGGAAAGAAATAGGTAATGGCAACAACAAATTTCCTCCTGTGTTCAGAATCATGTCCCAACAGTTCTACCCAACAGCTTCCATTTCTTCATTCATCTGTCCTAAGGAACCCTCTCTGGACATTTTCAAAGATGCTTTCCTCCAGCACAGATGATCAAATAACAGGTATGTAGGTATTGGAGATGACCTCACCTGATGGGGACAGCCTAACAGGTCAAAGGACCAGAGACTATGGAACTGGGTTAATGCCTACGGTAGTCATTAGTGCGTTATTGAATACCTGGAGAAAATGTAAACTCTTCTGTTGGAGAAGATGTATTTTGGTAAACAAAGGAACTCTACAGGAGTGAAACTCAGGTCATCCACCTTCCTAGGCAGCTAAGGATTATTTTTTCCAGCTTCATCAACACTATTGGCAAGGAAAACAACTTGTCCCAGTTGTGGCTATTGGAATGCACCACCAGTTGTTACAAGTGTTCATGGAGCACCTGTGAACTGGATATAACAGAGGGTTGTCATCAGTGGCGCGGAGTCTAGTTGGAGGCCTGTAACTAGTGGTGTCCCCCAGGGGTCAGTACTGGGCCCAGTCTTGTTTAACTTCTTCATCAATGACCTGGATGAAGAGTCAGAGTGTACCCTCAGCAAGTTTGCTGATGACTCCAAACTGGGAAGAGTGGTAGATAAACCAGAAGGCTGTGCTGCCATTCAGCGTGACCTGGACAGGCTGGAAAGTTGGGCAGAGAGGAACCTGATGAGGTTCAACAAGGGCAAGTGCAGGGTCCTGCACCTGGGGAGGAATAACCCCATGCATCTGTACAGGCTTGGGGAGGACCTGCTGGAGAGCAGCTCTGTGGAAAGGGACCTGGGTGTCCTGGTGGATGACAGGTTGACCATGAGCCAGCAGTGTGCCCCGGCTGCCAAGAAAGCTAATGGGATCCTGGGGTGCATTAAGAGGAGTGTGGCCAGCAGGTCGAGGGAGGTTCTCCTTCCCCTCTACACTGCCCTAATGAGGCCCCATTTGGAGTACTCAGTCCAGTTCTGGGCTCCCCAGTTCAAGAAAGATGAGGAGCTACTGGAGAGAGTCCACCGGAGGGCCACAAAGATGATGAGGGGACTGGAGCGTCTCTCCTATGAGGACAGGCTGAGGGAGCTGGGCTTGTTTAGCCTGAAGAAGAGAAGGCTGCAAGGAGATCTTATAAATGCTTATAAATATCTCAAGGGTGGGTGTCAGGAGGATGGGGCCAGAGGAGGGTTGGACTAGATGACCCACAGAGGTCCCTTCCAACCCCTACCATTCTGTGATTCTGTGATATACCACCCATGTGCCATGGACAGGAAAACAGTATGAGCCACTGTCCATGCACGAGTCACTACACCACCACAGTGTGTTTCAGTGTTCACTGATGCACTGCATACAGCCTTCAATCTAGTCTTCCAGCTATACCACCCTTGTCTCAGAACAGCATGTCAAAAATACTCACTGGTTTCTGATTAACTGTGTGTCAGTTTGGCACTGATCCTTGGACTGCTCACCATAGACTCAAGGGGCTATCTCCATAAAAAACACTTCACATATATTCTGCCTTCGAACTAGCTTCTGCACCAGGCTGTCATGTCTCCCAAAGCCACAGTACAAGCAGTACCATTAACCTTCTTAGAGATCATTTTACCCACTCTTAACCTCGTACAGGCCAGCTGCCCTCTCCTCATCCCACAACTGACAACAAATGCAGCTAACCACACAGCTCAACGGCACATTCCCCTTGCTTAATAAAATCAAACTGCTGAATAAAATTCCCAAAATACAATCTTACAGCAGCAGCAAGGTTTTATTCTATCTCATTCTATCTGCTGTTGCTCTGACATGAGCCATACAGTGCCTTTCATTTCTTTCCCCCAGTGTCATCTTCACTGCTATTTCTCCTTCAGCATGGGATGCCATTAAATTCAAATAGTACAAGCCTACATCTTGCTTTAGCAGAAGCAAATGAGACAACAACATTTAAAAGCTCTCTCCCCTGATAGTTTCAATATTCTTTTCTGTCAGAAGGTGAAGTCTTAAATTAGCAGCTAGTAATTTTAACCTGTATTTTACTTCCTCCATTCATCTCCCTATTTTGCTTGTTTGTATACGCCTTTACCAATTGTTTGCTAGAAAATGTCATATAACCTGCAACTCTTTATGAATGATAAATAGTGCTATCTCTAAATAGTCCTTTCAGTTTAAATTTGAGCATACTGTACCACACTAGAAATTATTTCAAAATAAGTCTGTCTCTTGTACATAAAATTACTGTACAATTATGGCAGAGCAAAAGCAAACTTCATTAAAAAACAGACTAAATAATTCTGCTGTTACAAGGCAGTCTGTTAGAATAACAACAGGCAAATGAGAGCACTTAAAAATTTGGTGGTAGTGCACTTCTGCATCGACAGGCATCCAGATCTTACGGCGAGTGCCTCGTAGCCCAAAGTAGGTACCTTGTAACACGACCTTGTCTTGACCGACAGGGAACTGCAGACTGAAATGCAAGAGAAATATCACAGTGTAGTAGAAGCAGTGAAACGGGGCTTTCGGTGTTACAGACTGCCTCCACAGGCAGACTCTCAACTCTTTTTCCTCAGCAGTATTCCACCCTCTCACGTTCACACTGCTCTGATAACTCCGGTCCCTTCACGCGTTTGCAGTGGAGCAACTACGACGAGCAGATTGTCAGCTACGAGAGCATGTCAGCTCCTGACCAGTCCAGAGTACCATCACGAAAGGCCAAAACATCACTGAGGTGGAAACAGGTCCCACCGAGCTCAGCTTCGGTCCCCGTTGAGGTGCCGACGCCTGCCGGCGAGGGGCCCGCTGCCCACGGCCTTCGGGGCGGTGTGCCTGCCGCCTGCTCCATGCAGCCCACCATTTGCACCAACTCCCCACAAAGGTTCACAAGTTCACAAGTTCATTTCCCCACCCTCCATATTTCATTTAAAGCTTCCCCTTCACTCTTGCTGCTTATTAAATGAGCCAGGGCTACCGATGACACCCTGCCCAGCGTGTGATGGCTTGCTGGCACTCATCGGTCCCCCTGATGCCCCTGGCCCCACTCCTTGGCTGTAAGCTCTCTGGGTCCCGGCTCGTTCCTCGGCCCTGGAGGAACGCAGGGTTTTTTTGCCCCAGTTTTTAGTGAATTGTTTTCATTCAGAGCGCCGCGTCCCTCGGTCCTCGCGACAGCTGGCCGCCGGGGC